GGGAATGGACAGCAGAGGGGCGTGCGGCATACGAGCTCTAGCGAATTGCCAGGTGCAAGTGAGAACAGCCCCGCCGATCCTCAGGCCTGGAGCGACGTCGTTTGCGCCGTGCAGCGGCGGAGGTACGGGCAAAACCTCACGCGCCCCAGCGCGGCCCAGCGCCGGCGGCGCCGTGCAGGCCCAACGGAGGCTTGGCCACTCTCGTGCAGCCCGCCGCGGCCCCCTTCGCCGCCCGTCCTGAAACCCCCGACAACAAAACGTGCGCCGCTCATGATGCAGGCGTCCGCACTCCCTCCCCACTCCCCCCCCCCACACACAAACATGTACACACCTGAATAAGCGCATCCGTCTCTGGGTCCACGCTGGCGGTGGCCTCGTCCAGCATGAGCACGCGGCTGCGGCGCAGCATGGCGCGCGCCATGCACAGCAGCTGCTTCTGACCCAGGCTGAAGTTCCCGCCGTTGTCCACCACGCGCGCCTGTTGCAACACATGGGGGGTCAGGCAGCAGGGTTGACGTTGGGGAGGAGGGGGTGTGTGGGCGGGGTAGTGGTGGTGGTGGGCACGAGGGTGGGATGGGGGTTGAAACGAGGAGGTGGAGGGATGGGAAGGGTGAGAGGATGGCGCTGCACTCCCCTGTGAGGCCCCTTGCTCCCGCCTCGTCTCCCTCTCGACAGGGGCACCGTACGCCCCCCCGACCGTCCTGCCCTACCCCACACGGCCACCGTCCATTGCACTCTTCCGCGCCCCAGCAAGACCCCCAACAGGGATCAAACAAACCCCCCCAAGCACCACGTTCGTCACCCATCCCCATCCTCACAAATACCCTGGCTCACACAATTACTCACAAAACACACGCACCCACACAATCTCGCGCAACCCCATCACCTGCAGGACCCCCTTTCATTGCATCCACCGTGGCCCACGTAAAGGCCCCGAGAATGGCTGAAATTGCCACCAAGCACCACACCCCTCACCTCCATCCTCCGCCCCCGCAACGCACGAACACACACCCACACGTGCGCGTGCACACACACACACACACACACGCATGCACGCATGCACACACACACACACAACATAACGTTTGTCTTCCACTCCCCACCTGCAGCCCCCCCTCCATGGCATCGACCGTGGCCTTCAGCGAGACGTCCTCCAGCGCGCGCCACAGGGCCTCGTCGCTGTGCTGGTCAAAGGGGTCCAGGTTGCGGCGGATGTCACCAG